CGGAGGACCCCTCTTCTCCATGCACGCTAATGTAAAGGAGGACCGGAAAGACATTTTCAAGGGTCCATATATGATTGTGGCAAACTTCTGCAAAACATTGTACATCAAATTTGGAGCGTGTGCCAGCATACGGCCACTGCAGCCGAGATGCAAATGATATCGGCTGGATAATTCTGATATTTATGTATTTCTTCTTCTTCTTCTACATCCCTTTAGTATATAAATATATGTCGAGTATTATTCAGCCAAAGTATTTCCTCTTCCAAATATACCGTTATTGACACTCAAAAACATTTCTAATTCCCTTTTACTCATATTTACACGGTGTCGGCATTTAAACTGATAAACTATACGTAATGGAAAAGTTTATTAGATCAAATACAAAACATACGATCTTAAGGTAGATATTTTGTGCTTGCATCTCAAGTGGTTAAGAGGGTTTCCTTCTGGCGTATAATGTTTTGTATTCAATTATACCCTCTTCCAATAGACATGTATTGATAAGTTTTGTTGAAATTGAGAAAGTTCTATTTGCTCGATCTATTTACCCTTTTTTTTTTGTCTACTACTTATTTAATAAATTTAAAATAGGCTATGATAAACCTAAAAAAATCGAAACTATGAACAAATATTTTTGACAAACATGACCAAGAATTATTGTTAGTTTGATGACACAAAAAAGATTGTGGAAAACCCAAGCAAGTAGTAGGAGATGAACAATCCCCATAAAATCGTTTTTATTTCTACTAGAGGTGCAAGTTGGATTGGAAATTTCAATTTCAGCATATTCCAATTCGAAATTTTCCAATTTTGGCACTTTTAAATCAAGTAAGACATTCAAAAAACTTTTGAAATCCAAAAATTCCGAAAAAATTGGATTGGAATCGGAACGTAGCTCAAGAGTCTGAAAATTCCGAATTCCTATATATATTGGGGTTTCAATTTTCAACCTATTTTAACGTTTCAAATGGTTAAAGCATGTTTAAAATTAGAACAATTTTCCAAAGTTTTCCAAAAAACAATTCTGAAATATGTAAGTTTCGTAGTTTTCCAAATATTTCGAAAATTTAGTGTTTTTCCGAATCGAAATGGATGTTGAAATTCCAATATTATTTTAAACAGAAAATTAATTCGTTTTAGGATTTGATGTTAACAAGCCATAAATCTAGAGATTCATTTCGGACAATTAAACGTTTCATATTTTTTAAGAACCAAAAAAGTTATGCCAGAATAACAAATGCCATGCAAAGGGTCACGTACATAATGCCAAGACATCAATGTCACATTTCAAACCGACCACTTGCTGGTTCATGGACAGGTTTTCAAACCCTAACTCTGGTCACTTTTCTACATCTACATGGTCAAAGTAATTACCCCTACCATATGTATTTTAATACGTGGAGTGTGAAGAAACTCTTGTTCATACTTGAATTTGTGGTGAAATGATCGTCATTTGAAAACCAAATCAAAGTATGCACGTGGCAGGACCACCAATATTCCCTACTAAACCCAAGACATAAGGAAGAAGGATTGATGCGCAATAGTAAGAAACTATACATCACTAAGATTCCCTAAACCACTGTGCATTATTAATTATACAGCAAAAGTAGTGCACTTTGATTTCTAAAATGAAAAACTGCGTACTAAACTCCCTACCGACAAATCCCCTTTGCAATAGCTGTCAACGACTATAACAACCCTAAACGCGTCCAAAGAAGCCAGCCATATAATTAAACTCAAGGTTTCGATAGATAAAACCCTCTAAGCAAGGGCTTATAAGAAGTTGAGCTACTCTCTTTATAAACTAACTGGAAATGGAGGGAGTAGCCCAACTCCTTATGAACCCTTGCTTTGTTGTGTGACAATTCCAACCACTAATTTATTACCAAATTGATTTTATTTATGTATGAGTCCGCTCTTATTCTTATATAATGCCCAATGAAGCTAGCAATCTTACAATAGAGCTAACTCTCCTTACAATAAATTATTGTGGCTAACTCTCCTTGAATTTTCTCAAGAGGATTTCTCCTCTCAAACAAATGAGGCTTTCTTTTCTCAAACTCTCTCTAGTGTGGTTTTCCTGAGGGATGTTTGAAATGTACAAAATTGGTGCCTTTTATAAGCATTGTTGCATGCATGTCACAAGCCATGCATTGAGGAGAAAAACTCTACTTTTTCCTCTGCATTCTCCCATACACCATTTTCTTTTTTATCATTGTTGACACCATAACTGACCAAGCAACTAGAAGAAATTCTAGGCAAGGCAAGAGGAGTCCCACATCGGAAATCTACAAGAAGTGAAGACTCCCTCTCACCTATAAAAGCATACCACTCTCCACCTAAGAGAGGATGGAAAAACTGAGCTGGGCTTCCTCTTCAGGACTCTCCTGTTAGTCTGGCCTTCGAGTCCTGGGTCTCCAGACCCGGGGACTTGACCCCTGGGCTCCAGACTCCTAACTTTATACCTTAGGCCCTAGGCCTTCTTCCATTTATCTTTGGGTCTAATCCCCTTGTACAAATGTAAACAATATCATAATGAGAACATCTTCTCTGTGGACGTAGCCCATTCATTAAGGGTGAACCACATATATCTTGTCTTTGTATATTTATAAATTGGCCAAACCCTCACATACTTGCTGAAGGTCCAAACCTTCACCCATCAACCATCACACCTCATCACTAAGTTGGACTCAATTTAAGCCGAACCATTTTGGGCATCAACATCATTCAAAGTTATATGTCTAATTAATAGTTATGTGATGTCCCACAGCTTGTCCTGATTAAATTTTTGCGTCTTTAATTCAGTGGCTGACAATAGGGTTCTTTTTCAAAAAGAAAAATGACACCCTTGGAAAAGGTCTCCTTCCCGGAACTTGTCTCTCTTTGATTTTATCATGTTAGTATAATTGGGGTGAGAAATTAATTATTTGCATAAGTTATGTACTCGTATGTAATATATTACATAAGAAGTTTATTCTTTTCTGTTAATTTAGTCAGCATTCTATGTAATTACTTGCTTAATTTCCCAGTACTTTCTCATGTAAGTGTCAATATCCCTTTTCTTTTCATTAGTCATTACTTATCGTTATTAGTGGAAAAGTCCATATAAAGAATTAAAAATTAGAAATCTTAAAAAGCTTTGTGTCAAGTGACTCTCAAATCTCTCTATCCATCAAAACCACAAGTCTTCAATAAGGGCCCGTCCATTCACATCCATTCACATCCATCCACATCCACTGGAGTATACAATAGTTAATCACGATTGAAAGATTTTTTTGTTTTTCAAAATTTGTAAGTTCTTGTTCTAACTACCATTCTTTTTTTTTCTTTTTTTTTGGGGGTCAAATTAGTGTTGGCGAGTCCTTACTTAGTTAAAATTTTGTTTACTTACCCATTTGTCTAGTTCTATTGCTATTATAATTGAAATTTATTTTCTATTGTAATTTGAATTTATTTCCTATTTTATTTGGGAGCTTTAGTAATATACCCAAAATATGGGCTGAAATTATAAAAAAAACCCCACATGGAATGCACTTTATAAACATACCCAAAAACCATTTACTACATAATAAATGAGTGTTGAAGTTCCTATAAATTACATCTCTACCATTAATGAACTTAAAACAAGCCAAACACAAAAAACTCAAAACAAGCCCAACCCATATTTTTTTCAAAAACCCTAACTTAAAAAAAAAAATATCGCGAAAATCAAGGCATGTGCTGCAAACTGACGACAAATTGTGAAATTATGTCCCACGCTTTATTGCTTCTGAGGGCTCAGGTAATATCTATAATATTGAACCCTAATTTGAAATAATTTCAACTCTCAGGTAATAGCCATGCGGGTTAAACCATGGTTGGGAATTGGTTTCAAACGAATATAAATATAAAGCCCCAACAAACAATTGGGTTTCACACTCAGAAATTTAGAGTGACCATTAGTACGACAATGACGAGGAGAATGGGAAGATTAAGCCAAGTGACCAATAGCACCGCCGCATCAGCACTTGCCCTCGACCAATTATCAAGAAGAAGCCAAGCTAAGCTAGCTAAGCTAGCTTTTCAAAATCGAATTGGATAAGACAGCTAAAGCCAAAAGCGACACTTGGTACGTGTGCTAGTCTATAATCTCAGGTTTAATTTTAGGCTTTTTATCACAAAACATTTTGCGAAACTATCAGATTGCATCCTTAAAGTTTTTTTGTATCACTCATGGTCCCTAACGTTAATATGAGTGTTTTTAAATAGTCCTTCTGTCAAAACAACTTTTAAATTCAAGGATATAATCGTCAAATCAATCCAAAATTATATATATATGTAAAACATGATCGGGGAAATACAAAAAATCAGGAAACCACCATTGCAGCCTCGATTGCCATTGCCGCTGGTACAGTCCAGAAGTTGTTGCTCGGACAGTGAGATCAGTTTCCCAGTTTTGGTGATGAAAAATCTCAAGAACACCGTCGCAGAAAATGCCCAGCAACAGCCCACGTATATAATACAAAAACAAAAACATCAATACTTAGTAAAGAATATGGATGAGTTAAGAAGGTAATTAATATAAAGAAGGTGGATCTCTTAATTACAACAGCTTCCTTGATTCTTTATGGGGGGACAGCTGTTGTTTTTCTCAGAAATTTGAAGATTTTTCGTCACCAAAAGTTTTTAGCGACAGATGTTCATCAGATTTTTCGTAGCTAAACATTTTCTGCGACGGTGTTCTTGAGATTTTTCATCACCAAAACTGGGAAACTGATCTCACTGTCCGAGCAACAACTTCTGGACTGTACCAGCGGCAATGGCAACCAAGGCTGCAATGGTGGTTTCCTGATTTTTTGTATTTCCCCGATCATGTTTTACATATATATATAATTTTGGATTGATTTGACGATTATATCCTTGAATTTAACAGTTGTTTTGACAGAAGGACTATTTAAAAACACTCATATTAACGTTAGGGACCATGAGTGATACAAAAAAACTGTAAGGATGCAATCTGATAGTTTCGCAAACGTCAGGATGTTTTGTGATAAAAAGCCAATTAATAATTTTGAAAGACAGACAGCTGATGATGCTGAAACAGAGTCGACCCTTCCTCCTCTCCTCTACATTACATGAGATGAGCATCTGCTCGCATTAATTTCTGAGCTTCATCCATCTCCCCATAACTTATACGAAGATGATCCCTACAACCACAACATCCCCAACAAGCATAAAGTCCATGGAAGATGTGTGGAAAGACATAAGCCTTGCTTCTCTTTCTCATGCTAATGACCACAACGATCACTGCCCTCCGGCTGCTGCTGCTGCTTTTCGTGGCATGATTTTTCAAGATTTCTTCACTACTTGTGCTTCTTCCAACAAAGACAAGGGCCGACCACCACCTCAACCAACAATTGCAGCACCAACCACTGTTCTCAGCATGAATTCCGATATTCAACTCCTTCCTGAAAGCACTATTAGTACCGCTCCTGCTCCTCTATTGAAGCACCCAGTTAACCCACAACTTTTGCAAACTATTCATGCCGCTACGCCTTCCTTTCATTTTCTCAACTCTTCCAGCTGCTCCGATGCTTTGGATTCCTCTTCACTCTTTCATGTGCCTTCGTACTACAACAAAAGGAAAAGGCCCATAGATCATCATCATCATCATCAAAGTAATGATCATAATTCCAGAGACCGCCGGCATAAGCGCATGATCAAGAATAGAGAGTCAGCTGCTCGCTCCAGAGCCCGAAAGCAGGAACCTTTCTAACCTCTCTATTTCTCTCTCTATATACAAATGATCTTTTGGTTTTTACTACTCTTTCATTTTCTTTTATTCATTTGCATATTTCTTTTGTTTTTGTTTTTGGTTCATGCGTGAATATATAATATAATATGTTGTTTGGAAATTTGATGCAGGCTTATACAACTGAGTTGGAACTTGAACTTGCCCATTTACAGAAGGAGAATGCTAGGCTCAAAACACAGCAGGCAAAGGTCAGTTGAGTATATTTATGTTTTTCCCCCCCATCCTCCATCCCGTACCCGCCCCACAACAACCAAGAACCCATAGGCAAACCCACCCCCCCACCACATGAACCCATAATTCCCAAAACCCACACCAGTGGCTTTGTGCCAATCAGAAACATTGAACATAGAGTAGAGAAAAAAAAGCAGAAAATCACAAATGGCAAACCTCATTAAATTCAGCTATGGAAGAATGAGGGATTTGCAGAAAAGAAAACCATATCCCTACCTACAAACCCAAACCCATTCGCGCCCTTTCCCCTATGATTTTTTCCCCATAGCCTTAGTGGTCCAGACCTCTTCACCTCACAAGTTCATTGCCCCTTCACCCAAAATCTCAACCCTAAATCGCACAACTCATCAATGGATTCAAGATCTGAATGGGCTGTTTGGAGGGTTGGGGCTGATGGGTTTGGTCTCATAGAGAGAGAGAGAGAGAGAGAGAGAGAGAGAGGGCAGAGAGAGAGAGAGGGGGGCAGAGTCGCAGAGAGAGGGAGTCGTAGGGAGAGAGGGAAGAAAGGGTTTGGTTGCAGAGAGACAGAGGTAATAGTCGCATAGAGAGAGAGAAGAAAGGGTGGGTGGGTCCCACCCCTCTGTTTATTAAAATGATTTTTTTTTTCATTTTATATGTCATACTATTTTATTTTACAATATTTAATTATTTTTAACATATGAAATGACCAATTTGCCCCATATTTAACGGCAAATTGGATGAAACGTTGATGATTTAGACGGCAGGGGGAACATTGATAATGAAATTTAATTTGAGCCCTTAATTCGCTAAAAAAAAGGTTATGGGGTAAATTGATAGTTATGTACAAGTTCAGGGGTATTTCGGTATTATACCCTATAAATTATTCAATGGGTTGGTCCATCCACTATCCCTTCCTTGGCTCGTTTTACACGATGTATAATATATGATTATGTTATGCCACGATGTATAATATATGATTATGTTATGCAACGTAATTAATTTACGGTGCAATCCATGTTCCGTACAATTATTGGGGAGAGAGAGGGGTTGTTGAAGAAGAAACCAAGAAAAACATATGCAGAAGAATCCGACAGAGAAATCAGAAAGAGATGCAGAAATTGA